TGGAAAAATCTCCATGCAGACATAGTGTTAAAAATTAAAGAGGGCCAAGCTAGGTGGGGTATCATAAAAAACCGCACAATTTGGCCACGTTATGAAGCCCGGATGCATCTCCTACATATAAAGGCTGTCAGAGCTAAAATTGAAAATGCCCCTGCCACTGCAGTTCTTGTATTCAAGGAATCTGACGAAATGGCTCAGTTGAAGCAAAAACAACTGCAATCTGGTTTCGAACTATTTAGGAAGTTTGCAAAAATTGTGGATGCAGAAGGAAAGTGGGACATCACTGTGGGAGGGGTCATGAATTTAATGGGTCGCGGTCGCCTCATTTGAAGGGTATGCAACTCAAAATGTATCCACAGACAGAAGATATGACTTGTAATATGACCATTTTAACGGTTTAGGACAAACTTTGTACAGTGGAATGGAAGTATGACTTGGCCTCTTTTTTATTATGTGCGGATGAGGTGCCCTGTTTATCTATTTATTTTGTATTAGGTAAGTTTGAGGGGGCCTCTTTTTTTGATATGTATAATGTAATCTTCAGGTGCCATCTTTGTTAACATTGTATTAAGTAAGTTGTGGTCACCTTTTGTGTTGTTTTGTTTTTTTAATATGTTGTTTTATGTAAGTTCACGCTGGGATGTTATTTTATTTTGTATTCTGCCAGTTTGAGGAGGCCTTTGTATTTTGATTGTTCCTGTTGCCTTCTTTGTATTAAGTATGCTGGAAGTTTTAAAACAGCAGTTGATGTAATTTGGATGCATTCATTTCAAATCTGAATTATAACGTAATTACCTTCCACATAGTTCAACTTTGTACACTTGTCAAATGACATTGCAAAACCATTACTGAAGACAGCATAAAACAAACAATTTTGAATAGCAGTACCAACCGAAAATAATGCACAGGTTACATTGCAATGCCAATATACGTGCAATATCATGCATTAGAAAACCAATAAAGAGCATTACAAACCCAATAAAGAGGCAATAGCAAACCAATATAGTTGCACTATAACACCAATACGTCAATAATAAACCAATATACACGCAACGAAGAATTAACATGTACTGTATTTCTAAGTGTATACCATGCCGTATGTGGATTCCAAAATAAGGGTATGAATAACATTCCAATTGGATTAGGCCCTCAGTGTTGCCTATGGTAAAGTTTGATATGTTGTATAAAAACCACCCCATAAACTCCAAGTTTCATGTTGGTGCGCTCACACGGTTTTATTATCCAAATTTCGCACATGCAAGTGAAACCCATTGACCACAAGATGAGCCTCTTGACCTCTCCAAATAGCGCACAAGTTGAACAACAATTCATACAGAGAAAACAAGGAGATGAGTAGGAGGAGCCTCCGTAGCGGTGCAGCTGAGTCAGTGAGGTCTCCATGCCACTCTCAAGAGTCGCCTTCAATGTCTCGGTGGGAAATGGAAGACGCGAGTTCAGTATGTTCACGGCTGTGCTACTGTGGGAATGTTGTCAAAACGCATACATCCTGGACGATTTCTCATCCTGGAAGGAGGTTTCAAGTATGTGCAAGGGTAAGTTTATTTCTCTGTAAGTTTGACCTGAAATTTGGCATTTTCGTGGATTCCAATTGTGATGATGCGCCTCTTTGTAACGGAAATATTGTTTCCGTTTATGCAGAGGAATGGATGTACATTTTGGGAATGGGCTGACCCAGAGATGTGTGACAGATCGAAGCACATAATTCTAGGCTTACTTAGGAAAATAAACCGCTTTGAAGAAGAAAGAAATGCTGGAAAAGGGAAGATGAAAAACCCATGGTTTTGGGTCTCTGTTTTCATGTTTGGAATGATCATTTATTTGTTGTGTTCCAAATGTAATAGGAGGTTTGTTCATCTACAGTTGGCAGGTTAAAGGTGGTTAGGTTATGGATGTAATGGAAGAGGTTTGATGAATATGGTGTTAATACTTTGTTCTATACTATAATTCAGCATTTTATTGGAACCCATACTCATACTAATGCTAGAATACTTGATCAACTGAGTAATCTGAGATGTTCTAAGCTGTCTGATTTTAGATGGTATACAGATATTTTAATTTGTAGAGTCATGATTCGTGAAGATAGTAATCAACCGTTTTGGAAAGAAAAATTCATTACCGCTCTTCCAAACTTATTTGGCCATAAAAGAAGAACTGAGTTCAGCAATGAGCAAGGTCAAATTGATTGGAATAATTTAACCTATGGAAATATAATTAGTACAATTAACCAAGTTGGTATGAAAATGTGGGTACCTATGAAAATTGGTCGACAAATACAATCTGAGCACAAATCTGCTAAATATGAGTTAGGAAACTTATGTCAACAATATGGTCTTACGTCAGTACCTCCGTCTACGAAAAATAAGTCCAATTACCCGAGTCACATTAGGAAAAGTCTTCATTACTCACGAAGAAAACAAGCCTTTGAACGGAATAAATATAATCATGAGCTCTATAGGAAAAAGAAAGTTTACCCTAAGAAAAATAGGTCCAAACCACCGAAACATTGTCACTTTATGACAAGTGAAGACAATAGCAAAGTTACATGTTAAAAATGTCAAAAGTTCGGACATTATGGCTCAGAGTGCATAAGCCAAAGATACTATGAAACAGTTGAAAATCACGAATGAGGAAAAAGACAATTTAATTATAGGTTTAGAGATGTGAGACTCTGAAACAAGTGAGATAGAAACACTAGTCAACAATTCTGAGTCAGAACCCTACCAGTCCTCTGATTCCCAGTCTAGTTCAGCTGGAGTCCAATTTTGTTGCCAAGATAACTGTTGTAATTCAAAATCACTTATAGTCCTTACTAAGCAAGAAGAGCAAGAAGAGTTATTCATAGAATTAATAAGTAAAGTATCAAATCCTGAGCTCAAATCGGAGTACCTGAAGAAACCAAGAAAACTCATTGGCCAAGAAAGTCCTAGTCCGTCAACTATCCCTAATTAAATAAGTCTAAATACAACAGTAGAAAAGTTTAGCAAGAGAAAAGAAGTCACCCTTCAACACCTACAATCTGACATAAAAGTAGTCAACAAGGAAATCATTGAGTTAAAGTAAATGAGTCATAAAGTTGAAACTGAGAATTATGAAATCAAACAGAATTTAATTACTCGTCTAGAAAAGGATGATTCTGCGTCTAATAGTCAATATGAAAGTCCAACCAATTTTGAAGATGAGCTGTCTAATAAAGATCAAGCCCTTCAAATTAGTAAAACAAGTGAATTTTAGAAAGTGGTATTCTACAGTGAAAATAGTTGTCCACATTTATAAGTTTCACACAGTCGCACTTTTTGATTCAGGAGCCGACCTTAACTGTATTGAAGAAGGCCTTTTCCCGACAAAGTATTATAAGAAATCCACAGAGTCTTTAAGTACTGCGTCGGGAAAAGCCTTACAGTTAAATTATGAGATTCCAAAAGCTAAAATTTAAAATAAAATCTGTTTTAAAACTGCCTTTGTTTTAGTAAAAAACATCACCGATGAAGTAATATTAGGATTACCCTTTATAGGTTTAGTATATCCGCTCTAGGTTGAACATGATGGTGTTAGTTCTATTTATGTAGGAGAAAGACTCAAATTTGATTTTTTGAACTAAGCTTGAGTTACCTAACTGCAGAATCCTTGGAAAAAATATAGTTGCAAAAACAGTTAGTATAATTCAAAACAAAGATCGATAGTTGAAATCTCTTCAAGAATAAGTTAAGTTTAAAATAATATAAATTCGAACATTTGAAGAACAAATGAAGTTTGATATTTGTTGTGATCTTCCTAATGCTTTTTGGCATAGTCATTTCTCTATAGTCTACATTGATGCTGTTGTTATCTTCTCTGAGTCCATAGAACATGAATGGAAACATTTGCATAAGTTGCTTAAAAAAGTTAGCCAAAATGGTGTAGTTGTCTCTGCTAAGAAAATGAAGTTGTTTGAAACCAATGTTAGATTTCTTGGTTTTAACATAAGCCACTCCCAAATTCATCAAATTGACAGAGTCATCCAATTTGCTGACAAATTCCCTGATCAAATCATTGATCAAATGTCTTGATCAAATCTTATAATACTTTGTAATTGCCCCAGCAGAGAGTTAGGGATATTGTTTCGGCTAACGACCCCAAACATTTCCGTCCAGATCGGATGAAAATAATTAATATACGAAAGTAAGTATTACACCGAACCACACAAAACAAAACGGCTACAATGTGGGTGCCCCACAAAAAATTGATATGGCTGCAACTTCGGCCAAATGAAGGATATTTTGTTATATGCCTGTACAAAACATGTCAAGTACAGAAGGTCAATAACCGCATTGTCAGAAAGGAAACGTGAGTACAGCCCTTCTACTATGGAATACAAGTACTGGCGAATTACGTTACAGAAATTAACACCCTGCAACATACTACAAAATCACCACCCTTTATCGCCATCTGTACACAAAGTCAAAAATGGTGCCATGTAAGGCAAAACATCGCATTCATTTTCAGGATTGACAAAACGATGAAACAGCCTGCAACTTCTGTGACATACATGTACAGAATCTGTGATGTCAATATGGGTATGAACCTGGAAGGACCACCTGCATAAGAAGGCCAAATGTGCCGAGAGTTAGCATTCATAGAAAGGGAAACTTGAACGTCTTAATAATTGGAGCAATTTTAATAAGTAATTCTATTCACCTTTCATAAACAACATGATACAAGTTTTGGATGATACACAGTCGGAGTTCAGAACATATGCCATACTTAAATCAGATGCCAGTTGCAAAACATGTACATTACCATCTACGGTGTTGAAATCCCCAATACCCTAAACTTTGATTAACAACAGTCGGCATTCGTATTCATAAAACTTGGAAAAGATGCCAACATACTGTAAGTTGTCTGAAATGAAGACTGAAAGCACAACTCTGTACATACGACATAATTCAAAGTAGGTAAATAACTATGCAATTTTGAAGGCAGTCTCCCCTGAGACTTTTACCTCATACATAGGCCTCTCCCCTGAGAGCCTCGATTGCAAGCTTCAATCGGTAGTAGCCAAACTTGGCTGGGTCAATGGTATTAAAAGGAATGCCAACACTGAGATACTCAATAAATTTGACGATCATAATGCCACATGAGGTACTGTCCACCCGAGCAGTACAGAAGTTAGAAGTGCACATACTGACAACATGCACAAAGTGCTTTAAATGAACACAGCTTACCCATCACTTTGCTGAGGAACATCGGAAATTCTACAAATTGTGAATGGGTTAAACGTTGACATGTCAATCCCCTTTCTCTTCACCGCTTCAACCTCCGATTTCTCATAAAACCTCATGTCATACAACACCTTTGCAAGCGTCTGGGTAATAGGCTCCATTTGTCGGACAAGCATTGTGTTGGAGGTAAAAACAGTATACGAGTCGTAGACAGTGGCAGTATGTCTGACAAAGTCAATCTCTACAGCCACCCAATGGGATTGTCGAACATTATACGGGAGATAGACCTTGCGCACTTTCGTCCATGCTTGCGCATAACCATGTTGCCATGAACCGCAGACAAAGTGGTGTATATTTCAGAGGTAGTTAGGGGGAGGGTCAACAGTCATTGAAGCAAGTTGTTTCCTCGTAACTCGTTTCACACTTGGCGGTGTAAATGGCTGTAAAAATTGCTGCAAACAATTGTGAAAGACACGTTACATGAACAGGATCCAATGCACCAAACACAGCCAACAACATTACTCCTACCAATGCAACAAATTCAATGACACATAATATGAATACAATAATACCTGCAGACAAAACTCGGCAGTTGTCCACTCCGTTCCAAATACTTGAGGATGAGAGAGTTGTCTTTTGCGTATTAGAAACATGGCCATGTCAAGGTGCTGACATTTCACAACACAACAACGACCTCAATATTAAAAAAAAATGGCCACATACTCAAAGTGATCAATTCATAAATTTTTCGAAATAAAGCACGGTTCAAAAGTATTACCCTCGAGCTCATCCATGCAGTTTCATCTACAAGTTTGTAAAAAAAATCTGCCCCAACTACAAATGGTTCGAGCTCCAGATCCGCACTACAAAAAAATAAACTTGCAAAGGTAAATTCAACCAAAAAAAAACTAATGGACACCTTGCATAATATGACAATGACACACACACGAACAATTAGCTACGTAGATATTGTTATTGTACATGACTGCATACATCAAAAAACATGTATATTGGTTTTGCCAAGTTACAAATCCTAACCTGATGTCACTTTTCCAAGCCTTGCAAACTTGTATCATAGCCTTCACATCGTCCATGGCCACGGGTTGTGTTGGATCAAAACAGGCCTCAGGTGTCTGTGCATGAAAACCAGTAGTCGGCCTCTTTTTCCTGGAGGGATCAGTGAATGGACTCAACAATGTTTTCGCGGGCCGCTTCAGTCTGCATCCTTTGCCTTCCGCATCTGGTTTCTGAGCCGTGGCATTAGCCTCCTTGTCCCCTTCATCACCAACCAGATTTATACTAGTTTCCATGGGAGGCCTCGCCTTGCGTCCCACCCCCTGAATTTCTTTCTTATTCCAATCCTCTAACAAATTTAACATTGTTTTACAAATAACTCTGTACCTTTCCCTATCTTCCGGACTAGGAATGAGGGGATCTTCAAGACTAGGAACCTTCACATCTTCCGAAGTAGGAACCTTGTGAGGTTGTTGGTGCACTTGTTTGTCACCAACTGAAGTGTCAATTTCAGCGGCTTCAACTTCCATGGCTGGGAAGCCTTCCACAATATCAGCAGGGACTTCCGCTTCCCTTTCAGCCCCTTGTATATGCATGGCTGGAAAAGCTTCCACTCCATCAGCAGGGACTTCCGCTTCCCTTTCAGCCCCTTCCACTCCACCATAGACTGTTGCTTCCATTTCAGCCCGTTCTGTATGCATGTCAGGGAAGGCTTCCACTCCATCGCCTTCAACTTGTGCGTCCATTTTAGGCCCTGCTGTAGTCGGACTAGTAAGTTCATTCAAGGGTGACATTTCATTCTGCCCTCCTTCATTCATCTGAGCAGTACACACTTCCTCATGCCCTTCTCCACCATATAATTTTTTTAACTCCTCCATCTCCAATTTAAAATAATGTTCCACTGAAGCAATTGTTAGGGTCAAATCCCGAATAGCCTTTTTATTTCTATCACACTCCTTCTCATGCTTCAAACAGTTCTTGTCTACAATAGCTTCCAAGTCACGAACTCTGTTCCTAAGGCCCCGATTTGAACTACGTAGCTTTGCTAACTCATCCTTAGTGCTTTCTAATTGATGCTTCAACCTGCCAAAGTCATTAAAAGACCCTTTGCCCTGCATAAAGTTATAATGCAACAGTTAGAAAGCTTACAAAAAATAAGAAAACTATTTCCACTTCTTTCGTATCGTATTCTCTACATTTTCACAACATTGGAAAAAGGTCATGCTCACCTTAGAAGAGGAGGGAAGGGTAGTTGTTTCCTCAACATCCGCCTCTTTTTCTTCACAAGAAGTGCTGGTTTTGTCTTCGCCCTCACCCCCAAACAATTGAACAATTCTTCATTGTTCTCATCATCACCCCAACTCCAGTAAGGTTGTTGCTTCTCAATATTAGTCGGCCGGAGAAGTTGCACATCAACCTCCATTTGAAACACATCTAATAAATCAGTGAACTTTTTACTTGTTCCTAATCATAACCTGAGTAATACAAACTGAACTAACCTCAAAGTTTTCATAAACCTGACTCATAACCTCCCGAAAACGGGCCACCGTGTTGCTCCTCCAATGTAATATTCGAGGGATGTGCCTATTGTCTTCATGGACCGTGAAATGCAATGCTTCCAATGCTGGGAAGACTTCAAAAGCCCAAATCTGTTGACAACAATCAAACATCAAAATCTGTACATGTATTTAAATGAACTAAAACATTGTTGGATATGTGTTCACCTGAAGAGCGAAGCCAAACCCCCTTATGATGTACTCTGTGGCTCTATTGCATTCCATTCTTGTCTGCGCTCTCTTCTTCCCACGTTTGTTGGGCTTTTTTTTGTTTTGGGGCACCTTCACTCGTTGGTAATCAGGAGAAACTGCCCTCAAAAGTGAAGCATTTGTCATCGCATATGACACGGCACCCCATGGATACTTGTCAAACTCTTCTAAGTCTTCGGCCAATAAGCACATGCTTTTCAGTACCCAATAGCACAAAAATGGCAAAATAGACCATTCCAAGCTTTAACGCATCGTCACCATCTGTGCACTCGATGAAGGCAGCGTGTAGGTCCAAAAGGATGGGAGGTTTATTGCTATTGAAGTATTTCTGCTTCAAGGAGCAGTTTTCATTTGTCGCCTTCGGAATGAAAGGGAGCTTTCCGAACCTTAGGCCCGTGATGAGGCAAAAGTATTGGGCTGTGAATTGTATCAACTTGTTACCCACAATGAATTTTATCCCATTCACTTGTGTAACTGTCTTAGGATCAGCCTTCCTCATCAACAGCCCGTGGACAACTTGTGAATTCCACTTCAGGTCCTCTATCAGTAATAGATGACCAAAACAACTCCCCTCGAACCTCTGTAACTGCTGCGTATTGAACTTCGCCTTTATTGTTGTAATGGCGGTCCTTGCGTGTGAAAGGGCAAATGGCTTTCCTTCGTACTTCTCATCCTCAGGAATCATAAGCTTTGCTTTACAAGCCATTCTAGAGTTCCCTGCACAACAACATCATACATATGGATCATTGGTTACCCATATTTCATACGTACATTACTCAAACTAATACTTTCAAGCCATTTAATATATGTATATACATATGACAAAACCAGAATTGTTTTGAAGCCTCTTTTCTACTTTCCAACTTTCTCCACACTCTGCTATTATCTACATTCCCTTCTACAAAATCTATATTCGATTCCATCCAAAAACCAAATACCACCCAAGTGTGAAAACAATTTCATGAACCACGGATCCACTTCATACAGGGTTTTGGCGAAATGGCTACAACAATTACTCCAAATGCATCAATGCGTACTAAAATCTACTCATTACCATAGTCATATACATGTCTACTCATATGGCACACATGGAACATCAGTATTGACAGTTATGGACTCTGTGTACAAACTAGACACGTCAAAATGTTACTGCAACTGCAACTGCTAAACCTAGCTGGATGAACATGAAATTTCTAAACAGATACTAAAGCCCAAGAAAATACCATTTTCAGACATATATGAAAAGCTGCAAGCAAGGACTAACAACAAAATTTAGCAGGTTTTATAGCACAGGGAAAAGAAACATCCCACGCCAACTTACATTAGTATTTCAAATTCACATAATTAACCATTAAGACTGGAAGGGTGCAAACTATGCTACTAGGTGCTGAAACAGCAATGATACCAACAAATTTACTTATGCATTATTACTCAACAGCTAATTTAGGGCCTAGTGAGGTAAACCTGTGTTATAATGGAATAGCCATTGCCACCAGAATAAATTCCCACACTAAATATGCATCATCAAATGGAAGTGAAAACACGCATCACAAACGAACCAATCCTAGATGATAAATACCAACTTAAGGCACTTCATCGTCCACAGAGCAAAATCAATACACCAATACAAGTTTCATCCAAGCATGAAATAATTCACAGTTAAAATACATTATTATTGCAATCTCTGTAATTACTAAACTTCACAACATCAGTAACAGGTTACCAACCTTAGAATCACTCGTTTTGTGCACATAACCGAATTGGAAATCCTAGCAACACCTACAGAAAATTGCGATTTTTGTCTCTGACAGGATTGAGCAGGAGGAGGAAGTATGTGAACAAAGTCTGAACCGAAACCAAGATTTAGGGTTTTTTGAGGCCCTGAAGGAGTAGAGGAGAAGAGAAAGACGTCGATTCAAGACATGAAAAGAGAGGAAACTGAGAAATCGTTTAAGGGAGAGAACATTTAATGAAGAAACCCTCTCTTTCACCGTCAATAACTGCCTCACCAAACCCTAACATTGACGACAGAGAGAGAACGAGAGAGTGCTGCTTAGGTTTTGGGGACAGAGGGAGACATAGAGTGGTGGTGGCCGCTGGAGAGAGAAAGCGCCGACAGAGGAAGAGACGACCGTCACAGAGAGCTGAGAAAGACAGAGAAGCCACACGTTAGTCTTATAACATCTTAGCAGACATACAAATAATACACAAAATACTTGCAAAAGGAACCATTCTTTCAGTAGACAAGTCTTCCACCTCTTTAACAAACTCTGTATATCACTCTATCTCAATGGGGCTCAAGAACTTTTGTGATTCAGTGCTTGACAGAAGCAGGGACCTATCCTATTTATAAAGAAATTTAGTTGGTGTAATTCTAATAGGATACTTCCATTACAATCCTATTAGAATTCAACTTAATCACCAAGTAATCGGATGACTATGTCCAACTTCTAATTATATTAGGACTTCAATGCTTAAATAAGAGATCTAAATCACATATGTATAAGCTTCAGAATACTTGTTCTAATTGTTCTTAGTATCTGTCTCAGAGTCCTAGCCAAGTTCAACCAGTGTGAGACCTTATAACAATTACAATTTCTTCCCGTATCTTACCATTGCTTGTATTATGTCCTTACATTGCAGTGGATGGCTCTCTGCCATCATTATTCTTTTCCTTTTGGCACTATATCCAGTTCTCACAAGGGGATGGCAAGTGTTGTTATCCCCCTAATTTTCCATACTCTCCACCTCTAGTCTCTCCTACTTTCTTAATCATGAGTGCACAACCAAATGTTGTTTCCTCAAAGGGTAGAAGTAGCCTTTCCTTTTCTCCCTTTGTAGTGCAAAAGGGTAGGTTTATGTTTAAGCTTGAGAAACTTGAAACTAGGATCTTTGCTATAGCCTTTGATTCTGGGGTTCAAGGGCATTATGAAAACTTTTGTTTGGTTGGGAAGGTGTTTGGTGCGTATGTACCTAGGAGAATTATTTGCAATAGATTTAAGAATGGCTGTAATGTTCTTCAAAGAGACTTTTCCATTGATCATATGGGAAGGGATTGGTTCAAAGTCGAACTTTCCTCTGAAGAAGACATTGATTATGTGCTTGAGAACAGGCCTTGGTTTGTTCAAGGCCATATTTTTCCTTTGAAGAGATGGACACTTGATTTCTCACCTTTTCATGCTTCTATTGAGTCTGTTGTTGGTTGGGCTCGTATTCCTTTCCTTCCCCTCCACTATAGGGATGTTGAGGTCTTACAAGATCTTGCCTTCATTCTAGGAACTCCCTTTAGAATTGATGAAGCATCCCTAATTGGAAATCCTTGAATGTTTGTTCGAGTCTGCCTTGAACTGGATCTCACCCATCCTTCGAAGAGATGCTTGGTTATTGGGGATGGAAATGTTGAAATTAGAAGCTTCATTAGCTATGAAGCCCTCTTTGAGATATGTTTTTATTGTGATCACAAGAAGAATAAGGATGAGGTTCATATTTGCCCTATGAAGGAGACTAACAGGAACTTCTTGAAGGTAGAGCGACTTGCAAATGAACTGTTGTTTTCCCTACTACTATGGCAGTGGATGAGGAGGTTCAAAGTGAGATGGCTGAGGATATTATTGCGATGTTCCCTCAACCTACAATTGTTGCTGGTGGAGAGAGTGATGCTCCCAATGTGAATCAAGAAGGTGAAAGTGATCCTGAATGGACTGTTGTGACTAGTAAAAAAGGTTAAGGAAAAGATAGTATGCATGATGGTCGGTCCTTTAGGGAGGTTGGTAGGGGTGTTAAAATTGGTGGTCCTTCTACTCAGTCCACTCATTCTAACCCTGAAAAGATGGTCCTTAGGAAGATGGATAAAGGGAAGGCTGTGATTGGCGAGTCTAGCCAACTTATGGAAGCTACTAGTGAGAATCAATTTCAAGCTTTTAGGAGCCTTACGAAAAGGTGAGAGAAGAAGTTGAGGAGGTACCAGAAGAGTCTGAGCCAAGTGTCGAGATCCTTGGTTTGTTTGACCCACACTCCAACACTATCGAACCTTGATCAATGAAGTTGATGGTCTAGAATAGCGGAAGTAGTTCCTCGCCTGGTTTTATTACCCAAGTTGTCTTTTTCATTTAGATATGCTTTGTATTTTGGACTCAAGAGCCTCTTTGTCTAAGGCTGAGTAAATTAGTTGGAAAATCCCCCTGGATTGCAACTTTTTTGTTCTTGCCCAAGGGAAGTGTGGGGGTTGTTGTTATTTTGGAATCCTACTTCAGTTAATTATAGTGTTTTGAAGTATCATGATCCTTTTATCCATTGCTCTATCCATGACATGATTGCTAGTAAAGATTGGTTGGCTACCTTTATCTATGCCTTTCCTCAGAAATAAAAACAACCGAGGCTTTGGGAGGAGATTCTCCTCCTAAAACCCTGTAATGCTGAACCTTGGGCTCTCTTAGGTGACTTCAATAATATCTACACCCTATCTGAAAACGTTGGTGGTATTCCTAACCTTCATCCATCGATGTATCGTTTTACCAAATTTATAAATGACTGTGGTCCTTGTTCTTTGCCAACTGAAGGTGTACCTTTCACTTGGTCTAACAAACATCAAGATAATTTTGTTACTTTTGAAAGACTTGATCTCATGATTGCTAACCCTAGCTGGCTCTCTTTATACCATAACCTTAAGTTAGAAAACCTGGCCTTCCAAAGATCTTATCATGGCCCAATTTGTTTGTGTTAGAATTGTAGGGGAAACAAAGTGATTTTATTAGATTGGAGGAGAATAGTACATGGTTTTGTGTAGGCTAATTGGCCTTCTTAGCATATTGGCTTATTGGCCACCACACTTGATTTAGAATAGTTTGAGTTATTTGGCCCTTCACTTAGATTTGTGAGCTTATTGGCTCCACAACATAGCTTTACTTGGGTAGCTCTTGGCTCCCTTAGTTTGGGAGTTCTTTTTTGTTGAACTCCACATAGATTGGGAGTTGGTGGATGACGCCACTCCATCTTGCTTTGTTGTATTGCATGCCTATTTATAGGCATTATTTTCCGACATAGCCCAAGTTCCACCTCCTTGGTCTTTTTATTTCCAGCCATAAGTATGTGGCTTTGCCTAGAAACTTCTTATATTATTGTGGCTATTGTTTTGCCATCATGCTCCACCTCCTTGTTCTTTTCTCCACAACTCTAGGTTCTTCCATCAATAGTGATTCTTCTAGAACCTTTTGGATCTTTTTGTCACAAATGGGCATTAGTATTTTCAACAGTTTGACTTGCTCACCCACCCCCAATCCTAATCCCTCTAGAGCTTTTAAATTTGAGGCTATTTGGTTCTACCATTCTAAACACACGATTGAAAGAATATTGAAGTCCTCTTAGTTGAGGCATAGAAAAGAACTCATCCAAGCCAGTACTCCCCTTGAGCACAATGGCTTGATTAGAGGTCTAGAATAAGCGTAAACTCATCAAACAAAGCATTCTACATCGCCTATACCAGGTTTATTGGGCTGATCTCACCCCCAATAGTGGCACGCTTACGCAAACTACAAATTGGGCTAGAAGAAGCAGGTCGCCAGGGCCCAGCCTGCGCTTTCCCGCTGTTTTCAACCTGATCCAACTTTCAATTTTGTTCAAAATTAGACAAGTCCTCTCGCGAGTTTAGGATCCAATCTGGGCATTGGTGTTGACGCAACCTTCTCCTTTCTCCCGCTCCATTCCCAA